GTACCTTAACGAATGCTCTGGGATCCGCAAGCTAGAAAATATATCTAGTCTTGCATCATCAGATTCTCAAGAGAATTCTGATCCCTCTGGGCTGACCACTTCTGTAAGGATCTCATCTCTCACATGTGGAAGAATTATTTAATATTAGAGTAAAGGAACCTACAGAGATGTTTTGTTATGCGCTTACGTGGTACTCTTAGTCTGGTTGGATACTTTTAAACATGGCAATGGGTTTCCACCCGTGTCAGAAACACGGCTGGCCTGAAACACAATGGTTCCTCAGCTCGGCTTCTAGTCAACGGCCTCTCCTCCAGTCCCCACACAGTCTCGTGGGCGTTCCTCAGAGAGAGGACCCTGGTGCAATTCCCGGGCAGGGAGAAAGCTTAGGCAAGTTTCCTTACTCCACACGCCTCTGCTTACCAAGCAGTAGGTAGGAACCCGGTTGTTAGTCGATTGGCAGATCATTTTTCCGGGAGTAATAATCCCTTCAAAATAATAATAATTTGGTCACTCAACTGTTGAGGAACACTGCTGTGCACAATCGTCTGCCGCGTTTTGCCCACAAAATATACGGTGTATTCACTTTACAGTATATTCCGTGAAACGCTTTGAGACGTTTCAAAGATGTGATAAGGCGCCTATGTCAAATGCAAGGAATATTATTATTATTATTATTATTATTATTATTATTATTATTATTATTATTATTATTATTATTATTATTATTATTATTATTATTATTATTATTATTATTATTATTATTATTATTATCATCATCATCATCATCATCATCATCTCTTGGCTGCTGATCTGAGGGTTAATATTGCTTTAAGTTTCAATTAGTGCCCGAATTAGAAATTAGGTCAGAGCTACCAGTGTATTCTCTATAGTGAACAATCTTCAGTGTTTTGCTCTCTCAGGTTTATCTTGTCCCACTGCTTCTCGACCACTGGGTCCAAAATAATCCTTCTCAAGCCATGGTTTGTTGTTACTCGTCATGCATTTGACAATTTCCCGATGACTGTGATCCACTGCTCATACTCACTTTTTTCTTGCGGGTCACTGAGCAGTTCCTTCTGTCCCGTAAAGTATCTCACAAGTTGTGAGTGACTAAACACATTAGTACTGTCTGTGTTACCTCACCAGGATAGTGAAATTCCAGGCGACAATAAGCAAGTCTATTAATTCAAATGATTGCAAGAGTGATTTTCTTTTAGGTCTCTTTGTTTACTGTGAGTATTCATTCCACTGTGCATTACTGGGAAGTAAGAAACCGTTGTGAGTTACAGTGGACATGATCTGTTATAATGACTTAGTCACACATACTCACAATCTTAAATAGCTGGTAATTGATGGAAGAGCACAATGAACTAGGGATCCAAAGCAGAAAATGGATTTTATTTATTTTCCGATGAAGCTGTAAAATAAAAGTAAAAAAATTTCAATGTTTACCTTTACATCTCCAAGTAAATTTCATGGTGGATCTTGGTTAAGCATGGAAATGTCTCCTTAATGTCACTGCATAATAGCGTAAAAAACATCTGGGAACCCATGTAATGTAATGAAGGCTACAGTAGCTGAATGAAAGTACCAAGTCAATGTATGTTAGAAGTGCTGAAAGACACAGTTTTGATTCTTGTAAGTACTTAAATGTGCTCTGTAAAGCCATTATATTTGTTATTTACATATGTACTTTATAGTGTGTAAGTCAAAGCCAAACAGTACTTTAATCTAATTATAGTGAGGTTAAGCTCTCCGAGACACCGTCCGGTACGAAGTGCGCAATATAAAAGCAAGTTGTTGTTGTCAATAACTACGGTAAAGTGCAGAGCCATTTAAAGGGAAATGTAATCCTATAGAAAGGGGAAATATCTACAAGCACATTGCACATGCACATGCAATGCGTTCATGCCTTCAATTTATAATGGTTATATTGGTGGAAACTGTATAAATATTGCTTTAAATGAAAGCCACTTGATGCCAAAGAGCAATGATGTAAAGGCAGAATGCGTGTATTGGAGCCATGATAAACTGTCACCCGGTGAAATCAACTGCTCACCGTGTGTATATAGTTCTCCTCTATGGTTCCAACTTATTGGGCAATCAGCGAGGGGATTCCTCCAGCCCATTTATCATGTCCAAGCACTGAGATGGAATTGTGGTAAACAGGGGAAGCGGCTGCGGAGAGGAAGGGTCTGGCCCACACTCACCTGTCACTCAGCATCCTAGCGGTAATGTTGGCTTTTTATAGTAGGCATGTCTTTGCCTGCAAAGATATACCTGTGGAGTCCTGTAGCTCAGTGGTTAGAGCGCTTGTCTCGCAAGCGAGCGGACCTGGGTTCGATTCCCGGGCAGAGCAAAACGTTGGTCAAGCATCCTTACGCCACACGCCTCTGTTCACCCAGCAGTAAGTAGGAACCCGGTTGTTACCCGGTTGTTCGGCGATTGGAGGATTGTTTTTCCGGGAGTAAAAATAATGATAATAGTAATAATTTGGTCACTCAATCCACGCCAGTTTGTAGGACACCTCTGTGCGCATTTGGCTGCTGCATTTCACCCAGTCAATTCACTTTTTAGTACATTCTGTGAAGTGCTTTGAGACGTCTCGAAGACGTGATAAAGAGCTATATCAAATGGAAGGATTAGTATTATGATTATTACACAAATACGCAGTCACTACATATAGTAAATCCCGTGAAGCTCTTTGAGACATTTTCCAACATGAACGGTACCATATTAAGAGTAAGGTACCATATTATTATCATTATAACGTAAGTCCCTTCACATGAGTGCTTGGATTAAATAGTTGTTCATGAGTAAACTTGACCATTGACATTGGACTTGGATCTCCAGAACATCAAGGTGTTCTAGGGATGTCACAAGTTGTCCTAAAGAGGACCATCGATCAGATGGCCATTGACTAGCTGAGGACGGGTAGGCTTAGAGTTAAGTTTGACAGCTGGTGGAAGATATTAGTTGGAGCCAGTTTTGTGAACACACGCTCGCATATACAGAGAGAGGTAAATGCTGCTAATGCACTTCCAACTTATGGATCCATTGCTCAGTGGATAGGAAGGTCTGGTCTGTAAACAGATGGTAACAATACTCTCCTGCATTATCTGCTGTGTCCTACTGCTCACCAAAGCAGATAGTCAAGAGTTCCCGATACCTGCTATCCTCCTCGTGAAGGCTCAAACCTATTTTTGTCCCGTGTTGAATGACCAACAAGTGACTATCCTTCTTAGGGGAGAAGTAAACAGGGGCTCTTTGGGGCTGAATTTAAATCTTTAAATGTTCCCTGTCACTGTCACTGTCACAGCTTAGCCATTGCTGTACGTCATTGTATAGTAATCGAAGAATTATTGCACAATGCCATATGTTCATGGGTTTATAGGTTCGGAGGTTTAAGATTCCCTGTTTACATAATCTTGGGTATAATAATCCTTGCATTTGATACAGCGTCTTATCACATTGTTGAGACATCTCAAAGCGTTTCATAGGATTTACTGTACAGTGTAGTGACTCTGTATTTTGTATGCGAACATGGCAGGCCAATTTTGTGCACAGGAACTTCCCACAAAACATATGTCTCCGTGTCTCTGAAAGAAAGAAATTGAGGTAGTTCTTGCCTACCCCCGTGTATCAGTTTTATTGCAGTGGTATTGCACAATTCACATAAGAGCTCTGAGCAGTCACCAAGAGACAGACTTGGGTTTGTACCTTATGAGTAGTCCTGAAATGTAACTGCTGTAACGCTGAGTAAATTCATTATTAACATTTCTCACTAGGGGTGCATGAGTGGATGTCTTGACATACTTTCCAGCAGACCCTGGGAAATAAAACTTCCATTAACACGAAGCAAGCTATGTGAAGAAGTGCGATAACATTCTTCCAGGCTTCGTCAGAATAGTAATATGTTGCATCGAAGAAATAAAGAAGCTAAATGGTGCAAAATGAGAACGAGAAAGGGAGAGTGAGGCATGAGGCCGGACATGAGACATGGATTATCATTCAGAAGATTTCTTGTATCCTGTGCAGTACAAGAGAGAAGCTGGGAGAGCCTGCTTAGATATCACTAACGGAGTAGGTCATTTAGGACAGAGGGGGCATGGAGGCAAAGCACTTCCTTCCACACAGAGATGAAAGGAAAATAGAGCACTTGTTAACTTGTCTGCTCTCACAAACCTCCCAGCAACCAGTCAAACATTGACTTTAGCACAGGCTGAGGAACACGGGGGCAACTTGACCATTGGGGAAACCAAGAAGAGGGAGAAAATCTGAAATGTGGATGAATAAAAATAGTTTTGGAACATTTTAAAGTGTGGATTTCTTATTTGGGAAACAATCAAGTTTGGACACAAAACACAAGACGATGGCTTTGGTATGGGATGAAACACCGGCATCTCTCTCCATTACAAATGACCAGCTCAGCACTAAAATGGTAATAAATAAAAAGGCAACAGGCGGAGGGAGAGGAAGAGGGCAGAACGCGACTGCAGAGGCATTTAATCGCATCCAGCAAGCATTGAATCGCAGGAAATGGAAGTTCTTTTGCGCATCAGGCAATGGTTCAAGACTATGTTTCCCGCGATTCATTGCAGCTGGCCGGTAAGTGCACATGGTTGTGGAGTCCTGTAGCTCAGTGGTTAGAGCACTCGCTTTGCAAGTGAGAGACCTGAGTTCAATTCCAGGCAGAGGGCGAAACCTTGGGCAAGTTTCCTTACTCCACACACAGCCTAATAATAATCCCTCCAAAAAAACAAAATAATAATAAATTGGTCATTTTCAATCTACGACTGTTTGTGGGACATTGCTGTGCGCAATTGGCTGCCGCGTTCGCCCACAAATATACAGTCAATTCACTTTACAGTGTGTTCTGTGAAGCGCTTTGGGACGTCCTCCCGACGTGAAAAGCGCTATATCAAATGCAAGGATTATTATTATTATTATTATTATTAAACTGAGGGCCACCAAGAACTTTGCAGACAGGAGAACAAAGGTAGACAAATGATGTTACTTTTATTGCTGTGAATAATCAGAGACAAACGTTACCTTTGCTAAATCGACTTGCATGAAAAATATTTCTCGATGGCCTGAATTTCTTTCCTTTTTTGTTAAAACATTTTAGAAATAAGTGGATTGTGTTGCCCCGTCTATCGACTCAGAGCAACGTGTGGCAGACAGGCAGCAGCTCGTCTATTCCCGAATACACCAACATTTCCACGTTTATGGTGCATATACGGTGAAAAATCGCATTGAAACTCCGCAGGGGTGGGTAATTGGAGTTGAGGTACAGATCAGCCATGATCTTATAGAATGGCGCAACAGGCTCGAAGGGGCTGAATGGCCTACTCCTGTTCCTATGTTTCTTTGGGCTCTTCAAGGACTGGGCCCCAAAAACTTTGAAAGAAAAAGCATTTTGTAATTTATTCAACAGCCGGCTAAGGTGCATATGCTCGGAAAGGCAAAATTGTGGGGGGTTTTCTCCAGCGCAATTGAAAGTGTTGCGGAGAGGTGGACAGTAATAAAGTGTTGTGGAATCACACAGCTACACTGCAGGAAATGAAGCAATTCTTTGACACGAACCACAGCACTGGAACTGTAGCAAAACAACGACTTGCATTTATATAACGCCCCTCATGCAAAGTATACCGCGTCCCAGAGCATTTAACTGACTCCAGGAGCCAGTGATCAAGGAAGGAACCAGATCCTTCCACAGCACCACTCAGCGCTGTTGGCTACAGTTGGGATATTTACACTGGCTGCAAACTGTGAAATTGCTGAGCTTTGCACAAGTAGCGCTGCTCAATAGGTCAAACATAGACTGAGACTCCCTCACACTCCCAAACCTTTTGTTCTTCTCTTGTAATGGGATTTCCTAGTATTAACGAGCAGAGCACGTGCCAGACCTCTGACTGGTCAGCGCAATGAGTAATTTCACTACAGTTCCAATCAGGTTCAGTATATGTCACTAAATTGCAGTGCCCTGAATTAACACTGACCTTCCGTTGAGGAACGTGCATTAAACTTTCACGCAGTTACGGGCAGAGCTTCTGAAATTTCACCCAGTCTTTGCCTTGACATCGTTTTTTGTCCCGAAAATTAAGATCGCAGTGGAATTGTGGAAAATTCTAAAATTCAACCTCGGTTTGGAAAACTATAGCCCCTTGTTTACAGGACTGCAGAAAACTGGCAAATTCGAGCTAAGGGAGCAAGAGAAATTTCGGGTCCCTGGAGGGTAACGACGCTCCTAAAAGGTGAAGGTAGAGAAACTGGCGAAAGGAGGAAGTCACTGGGTTCTCTCCACCTGACTGTACAGGACAGCAAAGCACAGGCCTGTCAAGCCATCAGCAAGTAGGGCCATATAAGCAGTTGCAAGCGTGACTTAAAAACAATTGTGCATCTGTAGCTGCTCTAATCTTGCTCGAGCCTCTGGCAACATACCGGAGTCTTGTGGAACATGAGCGTTTACACTGAGGAAAGCATTAGGAAATTATGCTTTACAAACACACCATCAATCTAGCAGCTGGCTTCCTCCCACATTCGGGTTTTATAGGCTACACCGAGAGGGGAAGAATGTGCCAGAAGCTAATCGTATCTTTATACTGCTGTTTGCGAACCGAATTGTGCCAGAAATGGGAAGCGGGTGGCAAAAAAAAAATATTATAAATTAAAACTGTCAAGAAACATGATTTCTAAAAGTACAGGAGCTGTGAGCGCTAAAGTTCGAGGTGTTCTGCTTATCTGTGCAGTAATGGCGTACGGCCCCTAAGTATTCGTTTGCCAAGGCTCTCGGAGTTGTTTTTATGCATTGAGGCGTGGTAACCGTTTCGAGTGTAAAGCAGCTCTTTTCTGCTAAGGTGATTTTGTTCATCGCTGAGTGAGGTGAGATTCTTCACAAGGTCTAAGTGCTCCTCTGGTCCTCAACGGCAACACTGGATCCAGTTGCTCCAAGAGATGCTCGAGTTGCTGGTTGTCTTCCTGCGGATGCAGATATAATAATAAAAAAATAATAACAGACAAATGGCAGAACCAACCAAGGAACAGTACGATTAAGTCAACACATCAATCTTAAACATTTGAATTGTTTTTATGCGAAACTTATTGAAACCTTCGAATTCTCACACATTGTGGATATATTGCACGGAAGTTTCTTTATCAAACCCTGCATTTCCATCAGATTACCCCCAACTATCACTGATCCTCCCATTGTTAACCCAAGCGTATTATTATAGACCCGAAAATCCATCTCGTCTCGTCCTGTAAGACCATTTGTCTTCAAATTTAATTGTGGAAAATTGTTAAATTCAGGCTTAATTTGGAAGCCAGTTTCCCACAGTTATTAAAAAAAAGACTTTCAAATTAGAGCCGAATTCAACAACGTTCCACAATGCCGTGTCTTTAAATTTTGAAACAAAAGGATCTTGCAGGTTAAAACTATCCAGAATTTGGGGCTTTATATAATTTGTCCTTTAATATTCCTATATACAAAATATTACAAGGTAAGGTTAGGTGGAATTTCAGGCCTTAGGGTTTCCGGACAGTTGCCTGACTAACCCTCTCTCATTGCAGACAGACTAGTGACTGTTTTCCTGCTGAGGTGTTAGAGGCATAGTAGCCAGATATGTAGTCATACAGGTTTTATATTGTTCTGGCATCTGTGAAATCCATCTTACAATATCAACAGGACAGGTTCGACAACACCAGTGGCTGTCGTGCTGATTCCTAAAGCAGTTCTGCCACACTTCTCTGTGCAATGGGATAATCCGTTAAGTAAACACATATCTGAAATGTTTTGGGGTCATTTTCTAATACTGGGTGCTGGCATATTACATTTGAGAAGAGCAAAGAATAAAATTAATGAAACTGCCATTATTTGAGGGTTTTTTTTCCCTTACAGAACTACTGCTCTGTTTTAAAACGTATGCATGGTCGTTTCACTCTCTCAAACTAATTCCCCGAGGAGTCAGTTTACTCAATTCAACACAACTGGTAAAAGCTCAAGAAAAACACCAAAAAATGTGTGTCAAATGTATTGAATGATGTGTGATGTGAGCTGATCTGTGACTGGAGAGTTTATCAATGGATAACTGGCTTGTTAGATGGGCCTCAGAAAGCAGTGGGTTATATGGGTCAATGTCACTGAGAACTTTTGCCTCTATGGAGCACAAAGCTGGAGTAGATAATCTCTGCAGATTGGATCAGAGAAGCCTTTTGTTTAAAGGAGATGGTGGGATGTTCTACTTCTGTCAGGCAGTGGATGAGCTCATCAGCCTCTATGCTTCGGGTGATTGGGATGTGATGGAGTGCGTTGTCGGTTCAATGCTCTCTTACCTCTTTGTCCAAAGTGCTGGAGGTAGCAGCGATTGCAGTACGGTTTCTCATCGTACTGAGGAAAGGGAAAGAAAGAACAGGGTGTTGTTCACATCTGATATAAATACTTAGTTTATATTTAAACTCTTTAGGGTTAGAAGGACATTTGTTCTCTTTGTAACATTCGTAACATAGTGCGATAGCCTGGCTCAGTTGGTAGCGCTCTCGCCTCTGAGTCAGAAGGTTTGTGGGTTCAAGCCCCACGTCCGGACATGGAATCATATAGTCTAAGCTGACACTCCAATGCAGTGCTGGGGGGGTGGGAGCTGCATTGTTGAAGGTGCCGTCCTTCGGATGAGACATTAAACCGAGGTCCCATCTGCCTGTTCAGGCAACGAATCCCCCAAATAAAATCAGTCACCGAGTGTTGGTCTTGTTGAATCGACAACACTCCATGGTTGTCTGTGGGACGCTGCTGTACACAAACTGGCTGCCGCATTTCGCCCACAAAATACACAGTCAATCCTCTTTACAGTATATTCTTTCTAGAGACGTCTCAACGACGTGATAAGGTGATAAATCAATGCGAGGATTATTATTATTATCTCAATTAATACATTTCCCATTGTGGAGTTTTCTCTTGTTTTCTTTGGGCAAAGAAGTCTAAAAAAAAATCAAAGTTTTATTTCTCTCTGCTAAGTTGCTTAATTTTGGGTAGGATAGTAGTGGCATGCGTTTCATATTGACCTTTTCCCACTATATTTTAACCCATTCCCCTGAAATATTAACCCATTTGTTTTCTTTCAGATGACAATAGAATGAAAGTTGCGTCTTGCAGTATATTCTGTGAACCACTTTGAGGCATCTTGACGACGTGATAGAGCGCTATATCAAATGGAAGGATTATTATATGGCACCTATTCAGGTGGATGTCAAAGATCCCATTTGAAAAGAGAAGGGAATTTCTACAGGTGTCCTAGCCAACATCCCTCAGATAAAATTGCTCACAGCTCTGTGTGGGACATTTGGATCCTAACCCTGTGCGAGGGACATTATATAAATGCAAGTTGTTGTTGTTTTATCCTGTGAAGCACTTTGAGATTTCTTCCTTGTGTGAAAGGTGCTATACCAAATGCAAGGATTATTATTACTGCTGTTATGACATTGTCAAAATGTCTCAAAGTGCTTCACAGGATTTTCTGTAAAACGTAGTGACTGTATGAGTAAGCAGAACACTGTTGACCAGGACACCGTAGCAAATACACAGCATAGAAATAAATTGGGTGTGGGAGGGGGGAGCTGAAAATATGGATGGCATTCTTTTGCATGCGAGACTCATCTTGTTTGAGCGCACTACACCGGCCAACTGAAGGGTCAGTTTCTCTACAGCTGCTTTTAAAAGCCTCAGATGTTTTGAAATCATATTCCGATGCTTTCCATGTTTACTTCCACGTCTCTGATTGTCTTAGTCCGTCGTTCATTTTGAAATGAATTGCCTAAACAGTTGTTATCCGAAGCCTCATCTGCATCAGGCATTTGCCATCAGTACGGCTCACAGTTCCAATTTTGTTCTGTGTGAACAGGTGCTGTGTAAAATCCAGGAAGTTTCCATTTTAAAATACTCCCATTGTGTAGAACTGGAGCTGGGTTCAGTCAGTGCATTGCCAGGTGACTCCAGTTCAATTCACATTCCTTATTTCTCTCAACAAACTTTGTGTTTGCTGCTGCATAACAATGTACACGCACACAGATCTCCCCCTCTCTCTCTCTCTCTCACACACACACAGATATGTCTCTCACACACACAGATCTCTCTCTCTCTCACACACACATAGATCACACACACACACACACACAAATCTCCCTCTCTCACACACAGATCTCTCCCCCACACACACAGATCTCACACACACACCTCACACACACATAGATCACACACATCTCACATACACACACACAGATCTCACACACGTAGATCACACACATCTCACATGCACATACGTAGATCACACACACACACATGTACACACGTAAAGCACATACACAAACGAAGCAGCTGTAACCAGCATTGCAACCACTGCTCAAGCATGAAAACATGGTACACTGCTATGCAAATGTGGAGAATCCCAGCAGCACAGCACTAGCGCACATCAAGGTGAGGCGTAATGAGTTTCATTTCTGCATGTAAATGGGCCAAGAGATACTGAAGTTAATGATTAAAAAGCAAAGGGGCCAAAGCCCCAGATGTTCTAATAGTTTACGATTCCCCAAAGAGGCAACGGCTTACAGAGCGAGGGCTGAGGAGACAGATTGCAGCAACAACACATCCAGACAGTCAGACACTGGAGCAAACAGATGGAGACTTCGCAGAGTTCTTACCTCTGCGTGCTGGCCTGGGTTGAGCTGGCGTTTGCACCGGTAACACTTCAGACACAGGGGATGGTAGTCTTTACCCAGGGAGCGCTTCCTCTCGGCTGCACGAGGAAGGAAAAGAGGGTTTCATAAACGATCTGCTTTCGTTCCCCACTTTTATTCTGTGAAGCGCTTTGAGAAGTCTCGAAGACGTGATAAGGCGCTATATCAAGTGCAAGGATTGTTATTACCATTGTTTTAAATGTAAGATACCCCTCTATGCTGAACAGAAGGATTCCCCCACCCATAGATTGTAAGATCGTTGTTAGATTTACCCCAGCCAAGTTCGTGCGCACACACACACACACTACACTACACTTCACCCTCTCAGAACGAACAGAGCTGTATAACGCTGAGTGAAATGGTGAGTGATGTGACACTCGTCATCTCTCCGCTCGCGGAAGGAGCGGATCAGCTTGGGGTCGTTTGTGAACGGCCTGTCCTCTGGATCGCGTGTGACGGGCGATCAGATGTGGCAGCGATGTTGTTTTGTGCGCACAGCCACGATAGATGTGGCTTTTATGTCGAGTCGCCCTTTGAAAAGTCACTCAGTTCCGCTTCCACTGTTACACTCAGGATTAAACAGTTCGTTCAAGGACTGAAGGATGTGTGGAGAACGCTGATTAATCCAGGAGTGGGATGTCATACAGGTTATGTGGGGGGGGGGGGGTCGGGGGATGCTTGTGTTCAATGCACTAATTTTAATAATCCCTTAAAATAATAATAATAATTTGGTCATTTGATCCACGGCTGTTTGTGGGGACACTGGTGTGCGCAATTGGCTGCCGTGTTTCGCCTACAAAATATGCAGTCACCACACTTTACAGTATATTCTGCGAAGTGCTTTGAGATGCTACAGCGAATGCAAGGATTATTATTATTAATATAAAAAAGAGACACTGTCTAAACCAGCAACGTAAATTAAGCCACAGATATCAGCTCCTTCCTGTGGTGGAAATGAACGATGCTCTCCACCAGGCCTTTTCCTGTCACTCACCAGATGGTGCACAGAACTCATTGTGGCTTCGCTCTCTCTCTCTTTCTCAGCAAACCCGCCACCGGCTTGGGTTTGTATTGCTTTTCCTTCCGAGAGCTAACTGACCTGAAGCGGGAAATGGGCTGAACAGGACCATTCTCGGCTGCCACCCCGATCATCGCATATTCCTGACATAATTCTTAACATCTTAAACCCAAACCCGGATTACGGAACAAACCCCAAACCTTTACAAACACAGTGGTACTGTCAGAAAGAATAACAGGTATAAGAATGCCTTACAAGGTCACACTATAACATGCAACCAAATTAATTAACGTTAGACACACGGACTGAACATACTACAACACCTGCTCGGACTCGGTTTAATATTGACCACAAGTTCCTCGATTTCCGGGGACGGTCCTTGTGTGAGGTGTTGTGTCCCTGGGCTCAAATTTGCCCCGTCTTGAATTCAGCCACGAACTGAGCAAGAACGATAACATTCTACAACAGATACATACACTGATCGAGAGGGACCCATCCATTAATCCAACACATTTCTCCAGTAACAGCATCAGCATCAGCAACTTCTTTTTTTTTTACCTGCGTCTCCGGGTTTGCTTCACAAAATATGGTGACCCTAGGAACTCCAACGCCACAGCGAAACACTGCCAAAAAGGCTGCACTTACCAAAATAGACGGGTTTCCCACAGATCGGACAGTACGAAATCATCTTCCGAAGAGCGGATTGTCTCGATCAAATCCTACCCGATACGCAGTCTGTGAAAATGAACATTTCTAACTGACAGGAAAACCAAAGAGCATGACGTGCTTCACTTTAAAAGGAGGATGTGGTATTTTTTTAAAAAACAAACAACCAATTCAGTCCAAGACACCTTGTACCAGCTTTACTCATTTTTAAATGTTCCTATGCCTCAGTCATACTCTCTGCAGTCGCATTCTCAAGGAAGGTTGCAAACCGCTTCGCATTTTATCTCTATTGCTGTCTTTAACGTGCATGGAAGTTATAAGGCAATGACAGAAACAGTCTTCCCACAATGTCGAACAGGGAGATGTTTCATTGTAGGTTTTAACAGCTATTTTGTCACCACAGTTATTGTATTGTGGTCAAACATGGGGGAGGTTTTTTTTACTTGTTGTAATGAGCTGTTTTCTTTTGATCTAAAATATTGCAAAATTCACGTTTGGGTGTACAAATATCATCGACATATCAATTAATACCCAGCAGCTTCACTCTGAGTTATCCTCCCTGAATCTACGTAAAAGGTTGTGAATTATTGACTGTAAAGCCCCTGTAGTTTAACACATTTGTGCACAATTTCACGTAACAGACGATTGTGCAAGTGGTTCTGGAAAGCACTGCAACAGGAAACGGCTGCTTGCCGAAGCGATAATTCTCTGATATTATAATTATAAGTTGAGCTGCAATAAGTTAACGCCGATGGCTGACAGGCCTGTTCCTGGGCTGTAACATTCTGGAATTCACAAAAACATCCCAAATACCACGAAGAACGAAACATTCAATCTAATAACGGATCCATTTTTGAATGTCTGAAAATCTCATTTTTTGTTACATGATGTTTTTCGCTAATTTTTCTCATTACATTTTCCCTCCCTCCCTCCCTTCCTTCCTCCCTTCCCTCCCTCCCTCCCTTCCCTCCTCCCAGAGAGCAATTGATCCTTTATTTTAAAATCCACACTGGGATATGGTTTCAAGGTTTACTCCGATGCTACACAAGATGGGTCAACCGAGCGCAAACACGCCTGCGATCTTCTAGGCCGGTGTGTTCCGGGGGAGTCTTTCTGTTTCCTCTCGTGTGTCTGCTGGTCTGTGTGAGCTTCCTGAGTCATATCGAAACGTTATTATTGAATAAAGTGTACAGGAACTAACAAAGTGTGTTGTAAAAAGGATTGGACGGTGTTCATTTGATAAACAAAACTAGCTGTGGCTCTTGAGCCTGATGCCCCACCTTCCAGCAGGAGTTCTCAGTCCAGGCACGCACAGGCTTTAGCAATCATAGAAGCAGCAGGAAATACCAGAACGCTGCTAGGACTGCCACAAGCAAGAGGAACAGCCAGCTCTGCAAAGATGTCTCACGGAGCTCCCAGGAGATCGCTGACAGAACGATGTGTAGCCATAAGGGTCTAATTTGCAGTATTTCTTAACTGGATTTCTTAATAAGGAATTCAAGTTGCGGAACTTGGAACTGGGGAGTTCTTGTGGCAGCCGTCCGTGTGTGACGCTGACCCAAAGCAACATGGGTCTGGCCCCGGCCAATTCTGGAACGGCGTTCCCGCAGGAATTCCAGCAGGTTTCCCCGACAAATAGCTTGTTAATCAATCCCACTAAGAAATATCGCAAATCAGATTCCTTAACCTCAATACCGAATGCCACCCCCCCACCACAAAAGGAAAGTGTTCCATTCCATCCTCCAGCACTGACGTCCCTCATCATAAGCACAAAAGTTCAGCCCCAAAAGGAATCGGTATAAGAATTGGTATTAATATGTATTAAAGAACAATAGAAATGAGACAGGTTTGCTATTGATCAAGATGAAGCGGGATGTAATGACTGCATGAATGCGGCACGTCTTCTGAACGCTGTTAAGATGGATCTCCTCTGACCGCAGCATCCATTTTACTTGGTGGTTGCAAGGGAAATATTTCTTATTCAGTATCTGGATTTTCTCCACCAGCGAGATGAAAGGGAACAGCTGTGGGGAGTTTAAACATTCAGCTTTTTGCTTTGAGCTTCAATTGCTCTGTCAGAATTGTATCTCAAGGGTGTTATTTATATGAGCCGAACAATACAAAACGTGCTATCCGATTCTTTAACTAGACAAGTTCCCAAAAATGAGGTGACACCGGGTGACACCGTGTAAAAAACATGCACTGCGCTGAACTAAGTGACAAGATAAATTGCTACAAGATAGACATTCCTGTATACATAGAATCACTTAATGATGATGGATCACATTCACCTTGAGTATGGTGATCAGTTGCCGCGTATCTGAGTTCAGATTAGGACTTTTTTTCCCCCTCTTTGTTAAATATTACGTTCTTTGAAGTTCTCAGCATGAGTAATAGACCGCTCTTCAAAGGTGTGATGCAGTTTTGTAAAGAACAAAGAATTAGCAATGAGACGTGAGTAAAGCCTAGGTTATTTATGGTACGTCCTCCAGTTATATCATCTTGGCCTCTGGTCTCCGCTGTATATTTTCACCCGGCCTGACTTAATGCGCCTGGAGTTGTGGGTCAAAGTACCTGAAATATGTGATGTCAAAAAGGTAGTGTTCCCCACTGGGATTCATTAACAGTGACTCTGAGTACTAAACAGGTAACTGGCAGGACCCCCACAGTCGACTGCTTCCCTGTTCTAAGACACCAGAAGTAACGTGTGGAGTTTCCCTAAGTGCAGGGTCATGTACTGCTGGTTTGGCCTCCGGCCCTTTTTTAATCGTTCCACCGTTCCCGGGTTTTCAGTAATTCGAGAAATTGAATTAAGATGGTATTCCTGAACCGTCACATATTCCGGGGATTAGCCCGGTGGAAGGTATCAAACTCCTTGCCAGTTATGACCGGTGACAACTAGCAGGTCTGGCAACAGCATGCACTGACCGTGTTGGTGGTGGAGACCAGAGAACTTGATGTGAAGGTAACCGTGAATGAAGTAGAAATGTACAAAGTAGGAAAGAGGCAGACCATAAGAGCGGGGTTCCTCCTAATAGTTATTTATAAACGCTTTCCAGATAAAAACATGTTTACAGACTACCATCAGTGCATTATTCTGTGTCTTTCCTCTTCTTAGGTCCCAACTTTTCCTTAAGTGCTCACTGGCCTGACTCTGTATTCTGATATATGAGAGGAACACAAGACAGGACTCCTATCATTGAGGTGTATCACTGGGCAGGGACACTGTCTGCCCTCTTTCCTACTCGCCTGTGTTTGTGTTTTGTGCTCCACCACATGCCGATCAATCACTGAGCTTCTGCAATTGTTAATTGCAATAATTGATTATTATTGTTGTTGTTTGTGACATCTGGCTGACCACCCAAAAAATCCAACTTTACTACCTTTATCCGCTGCCCAGCAAGGCTATCAGTGTCTTGTGCGTTTCCATGTCTCCCTTTTAGTCAGATCGAGCTGCTGTCAGGAATGGATCCTTTTCCTCATTCTCCTCCAGACACCTCGTGCTGAAACCCCTGATATCTTTGTGGTGCCAATTCCCACTGATATCAGTGTTGATTTCAGCGCTCTGAGACACTACATGGGAATTATATAAATGCAAGTTGTCTTCGTTATATGGCCAACATGTCCAGGCAGGACTTACAACAGCAACAACTTGCATTTATATAGTGTCCTTCACGCATCCCGGAGAGCTTCACTTAAACACCTCACGGGGCTTGTTAAGCAATCCAGAAATCTCTAACTGAAAACAAAATGTGATTAGCTACGGTGGAGCCATCAGAATTGTGTAATACTTACAAACCAATACTGTTTTTTGGTTAAAAAAAACTAAAAACACAACTACACTGTTTACTACTTCTGACACGGTTCATGGAACAGAATTCCAACCCATACCTATCTGGTTCCCTAACATATTCAATGATTACTTCCTTCCTGGAGTTTTTTTTTATCAACAAGGACTCTAAAAATATGTCCCCAACATCCAGCAAACATTGTTTGAACTTCAAAACTTTTAACATAACTGAGCTTGGAATTCCAGATCAGCTCAAGAGGCTTAAAACCAACAAAGTTCCCCAGGACGGATGAACTGTATCCCACGGTACTTCTGGAGACAAGGCAGGAGATTAATGTAGAGCTGTCAGACATTATGAGGGAGCCAATCAATACTGGTGACGTTTCAACAGACTCCAAGTAAACATGTTGTTCCCATGTTCAAGAAAGGTGACAGAACCAGATCTGGCAACTGTAGACCCATTCACCTGACCTCAATAACTGGAAAAGTGATGAATTTAATCATCAGAGAAAAATGTTGACAGCCCATATTGACTGTGGGAAGCCATGACAGAGTAATAATTAGACTGCCAAAAGGCATTTGACAACATACTACAGAAGACTCCTTCACAAAATTAGATCACTGACTACCAAGGATAAGATACGGATATGGATACAGAATTGGCTGAAGGAATGGAAACAAAATATTATTGTTAGGGGAGCTAGGTCAAAATGGGGGCGATATTACATGGGGCATCTCTACTGGGACCACTGCTGTTCTTTGTATACATGAATCATCTGGATTCGCAGATGCAGTATTAGATAAATTTGCAGGTGAGAACAAGTTGGGGACACTTCTAAAATCAGAGGAGGCACCAAAGGTTCTTCACCACATATCTTGATAGGGCAGGCACTGGGCTGATGACTGGTAAATTAAGTTCAAAAGAGATAAGTGCAAGCTATTACATATAGGAAACAAGAATGGGAAATGTATGTACTCCCCGGATGGGATTGAATTGACAAAGAGGGAAGCTAAAAGAGATCAAGTGTGTTAGTTGACCCATTGCTCACCATGTTGAAACAGTGCGAGGCAGCAATAAACAAGGCAAACAGGATGTTGAGCTATTTTGCTAAAGTAAGCCAATTCAGATCCCCAGGAATCTTACTCGTGGTGGGAGGGGAGGGAATACCAGCGCAGGCCCAAAGGGCCAAATAGTCCATTTCCACCCCGCATTATATTTGAAGGCCTCGAGATCTGCCTAACACCAGCAAAACTCACCAGTCTCGCCAGTCTCGCCAGT